GTCAGTAGTGCAAGGTGGAGAAACTTACTTTTAAGTTAGTGGTTTTTGCGTGCCTTGAAGAAATCGTTCCAAACCCCAAGGTGAAAAGGTACTCTCTTGGGTGCCTGGGTGGCTCAGTTGGTTAAGTGACTGCCTTCGGCTCAGGTCATGATCCTGGAGTCCCAGGATCGAGTCCCACATCGGGCTCCCTGCTCAGTGGGGAGTCTGCTTCTCCCTCTGACCCTCCCCCCTCTCATGTGCTCTCTCTCTCTCATTCTCTCTCTCAAATAAATAAATAAAATCTTTAAAAAAAAAAAAGGTACTCTCTTGTCACATTGTCTAGAAGTTGTATTGTTTTACCTGTCATGTGTGGACCACCTGGAATAGATTTTTCTGGGTTTGTGAGATGAGGTCAAATTTCATTTTCCCCGTGGATATTCACTTGGCCCAGCAGTACGTACTGAAAAGCCTGTCTTTTCCCACTGTCCTGCGGTTGTTCTTTTGTCATAGTCCATAGGTGAATGTGTCTCTTTCTAGAGTCTATTCTGTTTCGTTGTTTTAATTGATTGTCTTTGCCTCAACATCACATTGTACTAACTACAAGAGATTTAATAAATCTTGATTGCTGGGAGTATTTTAGTCTGGGTTTTCCCAGAACAGACCCTAATACAAAGATTTGAGTGCAAGGAATTTATTTGTGGTGTGACTCCTGGAAGCGTCAACAGGGGAGTAGAGAGTAGAAGTAGAGTAGGGAAGGAATGAGGGAAAGAAAATACAGGGTGTGTTACTGAGCAGATCAGCGCTGTGGACACCCGGAGCTTCATGTCACCTGGGACTTTTGGGAGATGGTGTAAGACAGTGCCTCGGAGTTGTCTCACCAGCAGAGTGATGACACTGGGTTAATTACCCACCAATTTCCATCCCTTATGGGGTGAGGCCACTTGAGGGGCCGCTTCTCGTCTGCTGTGTGCCCTGGCTGAGCATGCTCTTACTCCAGAGAAAGCTTTTAGGGAAAGAGCTGTGGATGACCAGAGTAAGAAGCCTTCTGTGGAAGCACCCTTCAGTGAGCAGTGATGGAGTAGGGACAGTGTCAGGTCGGGTCCCCTCCTGCCCCACATTGAGTTCATCTCACCTTGGCATTGATTCTTCAAGGGAGTGGTCATTTTAATTTATATAAAAAGTACATATATATATATATATATATATTTGGTAACTATCTATAAGAGATATTATTTAAAAAAAGATTTTATTTATTTATTTTAGAGAGAGAGAGAAAGAGAGTGAGCGGGAGGGGCAGAGGGAGAGGGAGACAGAGAATCCCAAGCAAATTCTGCGCTGAGCATGGAGCTACATGTGGGTCTTGACACCATGGCTCCGAGATCACAACCTGAGCAGAAACCAAGAGTCCAACACTTAACCAACTGTACCACCCAGGTGCCACATATAGGAGACATTATTTTAAGGTACTGGCTCCCACCACTGTGGGAACTGGCAAGTTTGAAATCGGTAGGTCATGCCAGCAGGCTGGAAATTCAGGTAAGAGTTGATGTTGCAGTCTTGAATCTGAATTCCTCAGGGCAGCCGTCTAGAAACAGACAGGTTTTCTCTGTTGCCATCTTGAGAATTCCCAGGGAGCCCCATGCGGGACTCGATCCCAGGACTCCAGGATCATGACCTGAGCTGAAAGCAGACGCTTAACGACTGAGCCACCCAGGTGCCCCTAAAAGATTTTCTTAAAAAGGTTTTATTTATTTATTTTAGAGAGAGAGCGAGAGAGCACGAGCAGGGGGGAGGAGCAGAGGGATAAATAGATTCTGCCCTGAGCAGGGAGCCCAAGGCTGGGCTCGATCCCAGGACCCTGAGAGCATGACCTGAGGGGAAACCAGGAGTCAGATGCTTAACACACTAAGCCACCCAGGCGCCTCACAAAGTCCACTGACTCAAATGTTAATCACTTTGTAAGGACAGGCTACAGTCCCTTCAGTGGCAGCTGGTCCTAGGGTCATCATGAGTAGTTGTCTACCTCCTCTGTCACCTATCGCCCATCCCCCCTTGCTCCACTCCATGGCCAGCTCTTCTGTTGGTTTAAATTGTTTACCCACTAGGGTAACCCAGACCTTTATCTCTGAGGTTCCTGGGCTTTTTTTTTTAGGGTCGAGTTGCTACAGCTACATGTTTCCATTGTCACTGGGCATAGAAGCCCCAAGGAGTGCCTCATACTCCTCCCTGCCCTTATTATGTGGCAACAACTCTATCTTTGTATAATAATAAGGGTGAGTTATCCATGTCAGTGGGGTAAGTTCACTGTTGCCTAGGGATTCACTCACGATCAAGACAGGCTTGACATGACAGTTGGCAGCCATAACTTTAGATTTAGTGGAACCCTTACTATATCCTCTGTTCTGGTGGAAGCAAGTCCCCAGTCTATGCCTGGGAACCAGGGCTTTTAACTCAGTTGGTGTGATCACAGTCACTTGATGTCCCAAGATCAGATACTCATGTCTATTAGGGTCCTTCCACAGTCTGCAGCTCCTGTCCCGCAGCTACAGCTCGAGCATAGACTCACTAAATAGTGGCCCCAGTCACAAATCGCATAATCTGGGCAGAGAGATCTGTTAGCTTCTTCTTAATCTCTTGTGGCCTGGTGGAGGTGGAGCTTCAGCTCTCCTTCTGTGTTCCAGTAACCGTTCCTTACCCAGCCCCCTTCATGCCAAAGGGACAGTGGTGGCCTCACACTGTTGCCAGCTCTGGGATGCATGACCACCCCCTATTGGTTTCCTGTTCCCTTTGCACATAGATCCTCCATTGGACTTTTCCTAAATTACCCTGCATGATTGTGCCATCTGTCCCTGCTGGGACCCGACAGACAGACCCTTTGACGATAAAGGCTCAAAGAACATGTTGATGTAACTGTTTCATGGCCCAGAGGTGGGGCTGGTAGTGGAAAACCTGCAGTTGGTCATGCTGCACTTTTCAGAGCCTGCAAGCCCAACACAGGTAAGCTCATGTGTGAGACGAAAAATCAGAGAAGATTGTCATCAGGAAAACCATCACGAAAACTAGCAAAAATCTCAGCTTCCTGGCTACCCTCGCCCAATAATGCCATCCTTTCCTAATTGGTGAGGAAATGAGCTCGAAGTAATGCAGCCAATTCCTCTTCTGGGGAGCCATGGTGTTTCCTGGCCCTAAAGCCACGTAACAGAAACAAAAACACAAAACTCCAAACACTTAAACTAACCAAATAAATTGAAAGTACTGAAAGGTTGAGTAAGGACAGAATCCTTTCATCATTTAATAAAAACATAGACTCAGTAGGGGCACCTGGGTGGCTCAGCCAGTTAAACGTCCGACTCTTGGTTTGGGCTCAGGTCATGATCTCAGGGTCCTGGGATTGAGTCCTACGTTGGGTCCACACTCAGTGGAGAGTCTGCTTGAGGTTCTCTCTCTCCCTCTCCCTCTGCCCCTCCCCCACTCATTCTCTCTCTCTCTCTCTCTCTCTCTCAAATAAATAAATCTTAAACAAACAGACAAACAAACAAAACATAGACTCACTAAATAGTGGCCCCAGTCACAAATCGCATAATCTGGGCAGAGAGATCTGTTAGCTTCTTCTTAATCTCTTGTGGCCTGGTGGAGGGATGTTCAGTTATGGGATATTTTACAGTGAGAAGAGGAAAAGTCCAGGGTCTTCCCAGGAAAAACAAATCCTGCATTACATTACACTGAAGTTTTGAATTTTCCCGCATGATTGAAAGTTTTTGAAAACAAATTTTTAATGAATTCTAAATATTCAATCTTGTGAATTTACCATCTAAACTTGGCTGGGATTCCAATTTTTCAATTATTAACGATGCTGAGATTAAAATCTTTATTCACGAATCTTTGTGTAAGACATTATCTCTGATTACTTCTTCAAGACGAATTGCTAGAAAGAGTTTCCTTGGGGCGGAGACTCACTCTGCCCTCAGAAACCAGGAAAGCTATCAGCCTCAGGCCCCCATTGTACCTGTTCCTGTCCTCTTGCCCTGGCTTCTTTCCTCCAGCCAGGCCCTCAAATGGCAAGACCTTGTGCTGGATAGACTCTAGGCTTTTGACTTCCTACTGGTTTTGGTGAAGCCCTTGTGGCTGGGTGTTGCTCACGCAGAACTTGTGATGCTATCCCTCCTTTTATCTGCTCCAGCTCTCTGTTTTGTAGCAGGGAGTGAAAGACAATCTTCTTTGCATCTCTGACTGGAAGTTCCACAAATGGTAGGTCTTCTCTTATCGAGGTGGACTGTGAGGAGGGCCCTATGTGGTACCAACTGCCTTTCCTAGATCGAATATTTAAACCAGTGGTTCTCACTGAGGATGATTCCTGCTCCCCTGCCCCCTTGGGGACCACTTGGCAATGCCCTGTGAAACTTTTGGTTGGCAAAACTTAGTGGGGAGGGGTGCTACTCCTGGCACCTAGTGGGGAAAAGTCAGGGATGCTCTAAACATCTGACATCTTTGCTTGTGATTCACACTGTTCTTAGTGATTCTGAATGTTACTAGAGATAAATCCGAATTGGTATAGAGTAGGTGATTATAGCAAGGATCTGGTGTAACATCTTGTTTAAGTCGTAAATACCAATCTTGCCTCTCCAGGGATTCCCTCTCTCTTCTTTTTTTTTTTTTTAAAGATTTTATTTATTTATTTGACAGAGAGAGACACAGCGAGAGAGGGAACACAAGTAGGGGGAGTGGGAGAGGGAGAAGCAGGCTTCCTGCGGAGCAGGGAACCCAATGCAGGGCTTGATCCCAAGACCCTGGGATCACGACCCGAGCCGAAGACAGATGCCCAACCGACTGAGCCATCCAGGAGACCCTCCCTCTCTCTTCTTTTTTTCCCTAATTTTTCTTCATTATTTCCTCTCTGTCTCTCACACTCACCCCCCTCCCACGTCCTGACTCCTTCCAAAGCTTGTAGGCTGCTTAGGCTGGGGCTGATTGCTCTGTGCCAGGAGAAGGGAAAGTCAAGAGAGAGGACACATGCTCAAGTCTGGAAGCTGGGTCTTTATTGAGGTTTACTGAGGACGCTGTGACCTGGAGGAGGATTCTTGGGTCTGAGGGATGTGGCGGGGCCTCAGCAGAGACCAGAGGCAGCTCCGGAGTAAGTGGCACAGAGAGCCTGCTCAGGTCTGGTTCCAGATTTCCCCTTGGGCTGGCCCAGGCTCCGTGCAGGCTTAATTCTCCTTCAGGACCTCATTGATCCAGGGCCGGTAGTGGGAGATTCGGGTGAAGACAGAAGGGGGCTTTGCATTCTCCTGTCCATAGGAGACAATACCCTGGGCCACCCCAGCACACAGAAGAGGGCCCCCTGAATCTCCCTGTGGGACAGAGAGAAAGAGGGTATATATAGAGAGAGTGAGCACAGAAGGTGAGCAGGGAAGTCATCCACTCCTGCCTGTGGGTTCCAGTTCTGAGTCACAGAGAGACCTCTGGTCAGACCCAGCAGCCCTGGCTTCTCATGGGGTTATATATCTCAGTATGATGCCCCTTTCCCTTTCCTTCTTGCTACCCTGTGTGCGCTGGGCAGCAGCCTGGGAGGGATGGTCAGAGACTGCATGGCGGGGAGAGGGGGATAGATCTGCAGAGGGGCAATTCCAGTTCCTTAGGCCTATGATCTGAAACCCTGCTACTGCCTGACAGTCTTCCCACCCCATCTCCTTCCAGGAGACGTTCTAGACCCCAAACAGTGATTTGTGGAAAAGAACCCATGTCGGAGGGTCACCTTAAATGCAGTTTTTGTCTTCCTGGGATTGCCAACACACAGCTGGAGGTTGTGGTCAAAAGCTAGGTAGTGTCTACAGGCCTGGGGATCCATGAGCCTCAGCTTCACCTCTTGCAGAGTGTCAGAGCCTGCTCCCTTCACTTGTCTTCTTCCCCAGCCAGCCACCCGGCACATTCTCCCGGGTGGGATGAAGTTGAACTGGGGTGGAAGGGGGAGTGTCCCCACGGCCAGGGTCAGGTTGGCTTTCTCCTTCAACTGTGAAGGGCATGAAGTGCTGTCAGTGCTAGAAAGGGGTGACGGGGTATCACCACTTTGGGTGGAAATTTCCCTTGGAGGAAATCAGGGGAGGACAGGGCAAACTGTTTCACATTAGAACTACACCCAGTGGGGTGACTTGGTGGGGTTGGAGTCCAGAGGCAGGTTGGGGAAATTTCAGGGCAATGGGGACCTGAAGGAGAAAACGAAGAGAACAGGAAGTGGAGAAGGGGGAAAAGGAAGTTATCACCTTCAGTAGCATGATGTCATGGCGAATAGTAAAGTCATTGTATTTTGGGTGAGGGAATTGTTTTATGACCTCAAGCTTCTGCCACGTGTCTTCTTTCTTTCGTATGTTATGGGCTCCGAGGGTGACCATTATGAACCTGTGGTGAGGGAGAAGGAAAGACAAGGAGAGACAGTGATGGTCTGTTTCTCCTGGGATGTGCCCACTCTGAGGAAAGGGAACTGGAGTCTATCACGGGGGTCACTGGACTCTACCCACCTCCCTTTTCCTGGGCCACTTGTGGCATTTGGGGGGCTCAGGTTTCACTCAGGGAACAGGGACAATTTCCAGGACTCTTGGGAATTGCTGGGGACTGGGCCGGCCATGGAGGACCCAAGGGACAGGGTTAGCTCTTACTAATTCAGGGAGCCCTATATGAGGGCCAGCCCTCCCGAGCAAGAGATACCAGAGGAAAGGGGGAGGTGGTGGAGTCCCTGGTAGACCCTGTTCTCTGCCTCCCATGGAAAGGATGGGTGAAATCCCTGAGAACTAAAGGCCAGTGGGTTCTTGGAAAGGGCAGAGAGGAAGGGGCCTGGAATACTGGGTGGGCCCCTGAAAGTCACATATATCATAGGTTGGGGTCGGGGAGAGGGGAGCTACTTTTAGAGGAAGTACACTTGGATAGGGCCTCCTTTTTCCTTTGTAGGGTTGCTGAGCTCACAGTGATTGAAGATCAGGGCATCCATCAATTATGGGCCCAGTTTCCTTAAATTCAAGTCTTGCCTCTCCCAGGCCCGGGACCCCTCCTCAGGCCACCCAAGCGTGTGTCCCTGGCTGCTATGCTGGCTGTCTATCTCCTTTCCGGAGATAAACCGGACCCCATTGTGTCACCTTCCTGCACAGTGAGCAGCTGTCAGCACGAAGTTCCGTCTTATCAGGAAACCACCACAAGACATCAGGTGATTCTGGGGAGTGATGATTTCCAAGTGGGCCATGTAAGGGCGGGAGTGTGGCTTGCACTCTGTGCCCCCGATGATCTCCCCTGGAACAGAGAGCCCCCAGGGCCTGAACACGGAGAATGCATAGGCTGGGCTGAAGTTGGGAATCTCATCCTCACCCTGTACTCCGCCCGTCTTCCCCCTCAGGAGGCTCTGGTATCTGGTCTCCCCACCCACAACCTCCCATATAAATTCTCGTTCCTTCTTCCAGGTATAACAGCCAATCTGGCCGCAGATGCCATTCAGGCATTTTTCACCTCGGATTTCCACCACTCCCATACTGCCCGTGCCTTAATGCTCCTCTGTGACCATGCAGGGCAGGCTCTCCAGGTTCCTGGCTTGACCTTCTCCACAGGTCGTGAGCAGCATCACAGAATGGCCACATTACATGGTAAAATGTAGCCCCGAAGCTCAGAGGATGAAGAGAACATAGGACCTTCTACACAGTATCTCACATTATAGCACGAGAAGATGCCCCTCTTCCTCCCACCTGTTGTGGGCTTTCCCTGCTCAATGGGGTTCCTTGTCCGCTGGGGAACTACCATAGGCTGCAGAGACTGGGGGGGCGGGAATCCCAAGTGGAACTTCACTCTGGACTCCTGCAGAGAGATCCTGAGACCTTGTTTAAGAGTCAGCTATATTCAGACTAAACTTTGTTTTGGGACTGATCCTGTCGCTTCCAGAGGAAAGGACCGCAAGACTCACCAGCTTCAGCTCTGCAGCATAGGAGAAGGAGTAGCAGGGTGAGAGGCAGATGATGCATCTTCTCAGAGAGGCTGCCCCGGGCAGATGCTGCTGCTATTTTCCGGTCTTGGCTTTTATAACTCCAGCAATGAGCGAAGAGCTGGGCTGGTCACCACAGGAACTGTGTGGTCATGGTTTCTTCTCCCATCCTCAGCCGGCAGTCTGAGCTTTCAACCGTGGTGCCTTATCTGGGGAGCGGGGGTGGAGGGATCCTGTCTTTCCCAGGTAGGGCAGTTTGTTAAAGCCTCTTCAGAAACATGGGTTGGGAGCGTCCTTATGCGGAGCATCCAGAAACATATGTACTTTTATGGCCCCCAGTAGGAAATGTGTTTTGCAGAAGGACCCAATGCACATATACGTGTGCGTGAATACACGAGCGCAAACATGCACACATACAACTGAATCAGAAGTTTCAGGAAACAATATTTATCCTGCTCACGTGCAGTACTTTCAGTTTCCATTCCCTTCCGTTCCACTCCATATTAAAATATGAACAGCACCCCACTTAAAGGATGATTACCTGCAGTTTGAAAACCATTGACCTGGATCTCTCGCTTCCTCTGAACCAAATGTTCATTGGCAGAAGATCCACGGAGAGTAGATGTGAGAAGGGAACAAACCCTATGGTAGGACTTTACATACATTATCACAAGTGCAATTGGGATTGGAATTCGCATTTTTTGAGACCGCCTATGCATCATTTATTGTCCCAACTCTTAGATATATTTGCATAATGTCCCTGTGAAGTAGGTATTACTAGCTCAGTTTTATGGATTGGCTATTGAGGCTTATGGTTCAGAAATAGATTTTCCTGATTCCAAATCAAGGGCCCTCTCTGCTCTACCACTGCAGAGAAACAGAGAAATGGAGCCCCACTAATGGGGATGTAGATGGAGTCCTGTCTTGTGGGCCTTCCCCAGTTGGACCCAAAATGAGAGGAGTAAACAAATGAAGCATTTCTAGTTTTCACTCATGTGTGAGAAGTTGAGAGGTAGGTAGTCCAAGGCTAAGGTGGTAGTTCCACGGCATCATTAAGGCTCAGGTTCACCAACACTCAATTTTGTTTCATCTATACTGGAGGAGGGCAAGAGAATGAAATAGGTAGAGCTCTGGTCAGGGGCCAATTTCAGAAATAAAGAGGGCACTCTCTGTCCATATTTTCTTCCTTGCTCTGTCATGTGTGTATTTGCATATTTGAACCAATTTCCTTTTTCTCTGCCCTCTGCCTTCCTTCTGCTATTTTATATATAGGATGCTGTTGGTGGTGAACCTTCGCTTTAGTTCATGGTGTATAGGATATCAGTTTGGGGATCTGACTAAATTAGAGGCGGAATGGGTATTACCTGGAGATCCTGTACTTGGAGCTGAAAGCAGTAAGTGCTGAGACTGACTTATTTCATTTCTGGGGAGAGTTGAACCTCATTTTCCTTTGTACAAGAGATAGTGAGGATTATGTTCAATGAAGGCACTTTCGTTTTAGGAAGGTTACTTATGGAGAAGTTCATGTTGGGCAGCCAAGTGATGGACTGTGGTGGGCATTTGCCATGTATGTGGTGGGTCCTTAGTGTCTTTTGAACACTTTTCCTATATTAGGGGAATTCCCAACCATGATTCTTGCTTTCCTAAGGCAGTATCTGTAAACTTCCTTTCTCAAATTCTCTTGCATCTAGGCCCCAATCTTGTGACTTAGACTCTGCCAATCAGATGGGTAGGTGTACAATTTGATTTAGAAGGTGCAACCTGAGGGAGTAGGCACCATGTGGAATTACTTTTTCTAGTGAGAGTGAGTGGCTGAGGGGTCTGATTTTGGGGGAAAAATTAGTTATGGTTCAGATGTCTGGTGCTGCCTGTATATAGGGTCTGGGCCAAGCCCATGGGCTGTGAGGCCTTTGTTGAACAATCCTGCGGGGTAGTTCAACATTGTTTCTGGCTACATGGCCTCCATATCTGATTTCACAGCATCTGAGGAAGATACTGACTCTGTATAAGGAAGAATTCACTAATAATCTGTTGTTACAACATGAATGTGCGAGGAGGGGAGTTAAGTGATTTCCCCATTGCTGAAAATAATAAACAGAGGTTGGACAGTCTTGTTTAAGATTCACAGTTAGTGGGAAGGAAAGGGTTGGGCCTGATATAAAAACACTGGCATTTAATGACGGCAGCGTTCCTTGGCCACGATGAGGCTGACCAAGGGATCATCCCTTCTCTGAGTTCCCGAAACATTTATCATCTGTGCCATGGTTCACTTTGACATTCAAGGCATGCAGCCGGCTTGCAGTTTGACGGGAGGGCTTGAATCCTGCTTCTGCCACTTAATGATCTGTCCGACCTTAGCAGAGTCCCTTAAGTTCTCAGCCTTAGTATGACCTCTGTAAAATATTAAGAATGAGGTGAAACAGGGCTTTCGGAGAATTAAATATAGTATTAAATGAAAAATGCCACAGGGTTGGTCCTTAAGAAATATTGATTTTGTCCCTTTGTGTTATCTCTTGTGCTGCCGTGTCACCATTTGATGGGTTAGTGGTGCCTATGTCCTCAGGGAGGCTATTTATCTTTTCCTCTGAATCCCCCTAAACATGCTACAGATGAAGCAGATGTACCAGACTCTAGTCATGTCAGCTTTGTACCAAGTCTTATTTTATTCTTTGAACTTTGAGCTGCCAGGCTGTTTCTTAACCTTGTGCTTTGAGTGATAGCTGTGGCTTTCTTGATTGAGTACGCAACTGAGTGGTTTTAACCCTTCAGTTGCCATGTAGGGATATAACTGCTCTCAACTTTCACACCTGTTGAAGTCTCTTGTAAGAACTACTGTGGAGACAGACAGCTGATGGTCCCGGCTCGTGCCATCTTTTTTTTTTT